ACAGCAGTTGTCCTGCAGCCCTTGGTGACCGGTACTGATCTTTACATCAATTCTCAGGTCCTAACACCACTTGGAAATATTCAGGCTGTTGGTCCTGTCACAGTAGCTGACAGTCGCAGCTCCTACCACCTCTGTACTCACGGTTTTCGTTCAGGTTTTTCCACTAGTTGGTGCCCAATCCACTTCTGTATAGTTCCTTTCAAAGTTCAGTGCTCCAGGATTATCTTCTGTACCTCTGTCAATTGGTTTTTCTTTTCTTTGTTGAAGAGGGTCTGTGTCGCTTGTCTGCCTATTCCTCTGCTTGCTTACTTCTATACCCTATGTTCCAGGATGTGGATTCATCTTTAGCTATAGCAGATAAACTTGCTGCTTTTGTTTTTTGGGTAACTCTTTGGGTCCCATCATCTTTTGCCTGTCCCACCTTCCGAACCTGTGCACTTGGTTGAAGAGGATGACCTGACCAAATTATAATATACTTGATAAATGGCTGAATATCTAGGTCCTGAGTTATTGGATCCCTGTTCATCTCTTCAGGTATTTACTCTATACTTACTGTGTGCTAGCACTGTTCCAGGAGCCAGAAATACATAAACAAAATGGACACAGACCTCTGGCTACATGTAGCTCATGTGGATACAGGAGGGCAAGAAAATAAAAACAGTAAATTATATAATGTATTAGAAGATGAAAAAGTACTAAGGGAAGCAAGATAGAAAATGTGTGTGTGGCCAATGCAGTTTTAAATAGGATGGATAAAGGAGGTCTCACTGAGAAGGTGACATTTGAGCAAAGATTTTAACAAAATGAATGAGCCATCTGTACAAGCTGAGATCAAATAAAATAGCATGCCATTCTTACACTAAATTGTTGTTGTTGTTGTTGTTGTTGTGTGCCGTCGAGTCGGCCCCGACTCATATTGTAAGCCTTTATAATTTAAAAGAAGCTGATTTTCTAATCTTTAAACTTTAGGTTTAAAGGCTAAAATCTTCCTAAAACCACACAGTACTTTGGCCTAATCAGTAAAGAATGGGTGCCTCAAGCACTGTACTATTTTAAGAACTATCCATATGGGATCAAACTGACAACAGCAACTCGAAAGATGAGACAGGAAATTTAGGGGGCAGTGAGTTTATGTTAGAAGGGAAGAACAATTTGGAAAAGGAAGATGAGAGTGGTTGCACAACTAGAAGAGTGTAAACAATGTAATGGAATTGCACATGTAGAAATTGTTGAATTCATGTGTGTTCTGTGTATATTCTCAACAACAACAAAACAAATTGTTGGAAATAAATAAAAGTAACTGATACTTTAGGAGTGGTGTTAAGTGGTAGGGTTGAGAGCAGAAAGAGCTCTGACATGTACATCCTTTGCCTTCTCTAAACTCTATTACTTGGTTTAAAACTGATGAGCATCTGGTAAATGATGCTGCAGTTTTCACTCCATGAAATGAATACTCAGTCTGCATCCCCTGCCCCCCCGAAATCCCTTGGAAGAAATCCAAATGGTTGCTTAGTGGAAATAGGAGCTAGAGAGGTTTTATAGTTTAAAAAAAAAAAAAGTTGTCATTGAGTCTGACTCATAGTGACCCTATACGACAGGGTAGAACTGCCCCGTAGGGTTCCAAGGCTGTTAATCTTTACAAAAGCTGACCGCTACATCTTTCTGTCATGGAGTGGCAAGTGGGCGCAAACCACTGAGCTTTTGGTTTGCAGTTGAGCACTTTAATCACTGTGGCACCAGAGCTCCTTGAGGTTTTCCAGAAACCACAATAATGTGAAAACATAAGTAACCCCTGAAGAAGCTCCTAGGGAATCAGTCAAAGATGGAAGAAGGCTAGTGACGAGAGCACCTCTAAATATGCTTCCTGAGGGAGGAGAGGGTTCTCTGTTCGATATGGTTTGAGCTCTGGACAAATAAGGGTCCTTTATTACTTGGAGAATCCAATAAAGTTGTTGATCTCCCTGGCCAACCTGTTTGCTATAAAAGAACTAGCCAGAGCGAGTGAGTTAAGATGTGAGTATGAATCTGGTCATGCAACTGCCCCATTTCAGGGATTGATTTCCTGAGATGAAGTTTCCTTTGTTTCAGATTTCAAAAGTTAAGCAATGCTGTTTGTTCCTTTGATAGCCAATACTTCTCATTCTTAACTACAGGACAGAAGTTCAGCCTTTTGAATAGCATTCAAATTGATGGGTCTAACTCTGGCTTTGTAGTACCTCAGAACAACTCTAGTTCTTTGAAATATTTTTAAGTTCCAAGTGCAATTAACTTTATTTTATGTGATATGTTGTTGTTGTTATGTGCCATCGAATTGGACCTGACATACAGCAACCCCTCCTTGGGTTTCCGAGGCAGCATCACTACAGAAATAGATTGCCCAACCTTCCTTCTGAGGAGTGGCTGGTGGGTTTGAACTGCCAGCCTTCTGGTTAGCAGTCAAGTGCTTGAGGCACTATGCTACCAGAGCTATATATCACTGTGATAAAGGAGGCATTTTTATAGAACCTAGGAGATCAACAAACTTGAGAAAAGTTGAAAATCATAGATCTGTACTCCAACTACACTGAGTGTTTGCTTGAGATAATGGGTCTGGGAAATGGGAGCTTTGGAGTTAGATCTCATTGCTTAACAGTAACTATGACTTACATAGGAAGTTGGGAGATGAAAGCTGGATCAGAAGACCTAGAACTGTTTTGAGCAACCTACATAAAGGGCAATTAAAACAAATAAACAAACAAACAAACCGAGCTCGCTGCCATTAAGTCAATTCTGACTTATAGTGACCCCCTTTGGGTTTCCAAGGCTGTAAATGTTTACAGAAACAGACCACCTTATCTTTCTTTCATGGAGCAGCTGGTAGGTTCAAACCACCAGCCTTTGGGTTAGCAACCAAATGCCTTACCTACTACACCACAAGAGCTCCTTTTAAAGGGCAATTAAGCATTAAATTTTAAGATAGCCTAGAATAGAGGTTCTCAGCTGGGGGTAATTTTACTTTCCAGGTAACATTAGGCAATGCCTGGAAACATTTTTGGTTGTCATACTTGCTAGGGAGGTACCTAATGGGTAGTGGCCTGGAGACTAACATCCTTCCATGTGCAAGACAGCCCTATGACATAGAATCATCCAGCCCCAAATGTCAGCTGAGGTTGAGAAATGACCTTGAAGAACTCCAGGTCTCCTTTCCAGATGAGATCATAGGCATCAGCCTGATCTAAATCACCAAAACAAGAATCACTTAAATTTTTTCTCATTGAATGTCCCTGCAGGAAAAAAGAAAAAGTTACAACTAAAGCACCTGAGTAGAATAGATTACATCATTCCACTGAACACTACCAAATGTTTTTATCTCTGGCTTTAAGTACATCCATACTCACTATATATAGTGGCTTCATTGCAGAGTGATGCAAAAAAAAAAAAAAAAAAAAAATGAGAAGCTATACATTTTAAAAATTATTTCTCTTTGTTTTATTGACAAATCTGTTCTGCCACTTTCTACAACCTCAGTCATGGAAAAACACTAAGAGACATTACGTAATGTTTGACTCAGTCACTGCCATCGAGTCAATTCTGACTCATAGCAACCTGCATTGGGTGGATCATCCCCATCTTCCTTCTGCATAGCAGCTGGTGGGTTTGAACCACTGACTTTCCAGTTAGCAGTCAAGTGCCTTATCCCCTACACCACCAGAGCTCCTTAAGAAGAATGCTTCATCTTCTTCCCATGGAGCAGCTGATGAGTTTAAACCACTGGCCTTCGGGTTAGCAGCCAAATGCCTTACCCAGTATATCATCAGAGTTCCTTATTGTTTGACTAATGCATTGATTTTCCATATAAGCATGAAAAGTAGGTAAAGTAGGTGATCTTTTTCCCGTTTTACAGATGAAGAAATAGAGTCTCAGAAAGCCTAAAGGACTTGTTCAAGAGTATGTAACTGCCTAATAAGTAGAGGTGCGAGGACTGAAATCCAGGGTGTCTGTCCCTAGACTTTGTGCGCTCTTTGCTGTGTTCCACGTAGCCTTACTTTAGATTTTAAGCAGCATTTATATCCAACCTACCATAGTGTACACATACAAGGAAGACAATGCTGGGCACACTGAGTTTTTGTCTCTGCTAAGGACACATTAAGAAATATGGGCAGTAAGTTGACCCACAGGAGGCATTTTGGTATCAAGGAAAAAACTTGGCGAAAGTCTAGAATCTCTGATCTTGATTTTACCACTGATCTCCTTATGACTTTCAGCAAGTCTTTGAACCTCTTTAATCTTAATTTGGCCACCTGCCCTAAGTTTTATAGAGATGACATGGCTTGAAATCTGTGAAGGATGTTTTAAAAACCCTAATGGTGTATATAAGTGTTTTAAAATTAACTTGGTTGATTTCCTTAAAATGTGGTTGTATGTACAAGCTACTGGCAATATTGTTGGATCACAGGCCAGCAGTCAATGGTCTGGTTTTTGAAGGCCATGAACACTCCAATGAGAGGAAGTTTGTAATTCTTTAGTAACTTTATAACTTTATTTCAGAAACTGAAGCTTTTTATCAACCAAAAAGAAGGCAGAGAGAGAGAAAGAGAAAATTAGTTTATGATCCAAAGACGAAATTGCCAAAATGTAAAGAAGAAATACATTAGACACAACAATAAGAGCAGGATGGCAGAGAGCCTTTGAGTACATGAGAAGCACCCTATTATAAAAAGCAAAGTGTGGGAAAATATATTTTAAACCCTTACTTCCTTTTGAAATGAAATACCCTTCAGGAAAGGTGCTAAGAGCCTTTGTAATCCTTATTTAGTTTGCTATGCTGGTTATTAGAAACAGAGAAGGAACACCTTGGAGACAGGGGTGGGATTTCTGGTGGGTATTTCTTTTCTTACAGGTGGAAACAAAAAGGCCAGTTAATCTTACCTTGTGTGTGTTTGTCCTATAAGCCACTTTAGGTGTGTGAGCAGTGCTACTTCTGCAACAAAAGCCCAGACTTACCACATCTTGGAGAGAGAATGGCCACTTCCTGGTATGCAGCCTTCTTCATGCTGATGGTATCCTGTGTTTGCAGCACTGTCTTCCACAGAGACCAGCCGACTTGGTTTGAGGGTGTCTTTCTGTCTTCCATGTGCCCCATCAATGTCAGTACTGGCACCTTGTATGGAATTATGTTTGATGCAGGGAGCACAGGAACTCGAATTCATGTTTACACTTTTGTGCAGAAAATACCAGGTGAGTCTCTGTAAACCCACGCTGTAGCATCTCCTCCCAGAAACAGATGTGCTGAGAGTTTGTGGTGTGAGTTATGGAATCTCATGGCTAGTGAATGTCTTTCTTCAGAGAATGCTTTGGACTATCACTGAATACATTTGAATAACTTTGATGTGAAATTAAGACCTGTGCTGCCTGTAGTCCAAAACCCACATGTCCAAAGATTATACCTATAATCTCTTCTCTAAAGGTAGTTGATGTTCCAGAAAAAAAACCAAAACTCACTGCTATGGAGTCAGATCTGACTCGTGGTGACCCTCCTTGGGTTTCCAAGGCAGTATCACTATGGAAGTAGATTGCCCAACCTTTCTTTCGAGGAGTGGCCGGTGGGTTTGAACTGCCAGCCTTCTGGTTAGCAGTCAAATGCCTTAGGCACTGTGCCATCAGAACTCCTGAATATTGAGTCTCAGGCTCAAAGCTTGGGAGTGGTCTTGGGAAGGATCACTTGAAAGTTTCTCTGTCCTTGGAGAAGTGGATGAGAGGACCCTGAGGTCAATGAACTTTTTCTTAATTTTCAGAGGTTCCCCCCCTCCTCAGGTTATGTGTAGAGCCTGGGAAAAAGAGTAGGAGCTAGATGTTCACCAGAGAAATAAATGGCAGAGGGACTCTCAAGGGTTGCCTAATACCACTATTCCCCCTCCTCTGATACTCTTGCAAAACATTCCTCAAGGATCAGATAGCATGAAATAGCTTGAGGGAATAGTAGGCTAATCTAGTAAATTGTATAAAGATTTACAGAGCCCAGTATGAGAAGCAGCCTAACTTTCTGTAATCAGCCCTTTCTCTTCTATTCTGTGTTTCTATAGGACAGCCTCCAATTCTGGAAGGGGAAATTTTTGATTCTGTGAAGCCAGGACTTTCTGCTTTTGTAGATCAACCAAAGCAGGTGAGTTTCTTATGATTAAACTTTTAGCATTTAGATTCTCAGTGCTTTGATAACTTTGCCACACCACTGCAGTTAAGTGTCTCATGCTGTTCACTGATAACTGGTCCTGTGTGAGATCAGCTTTCTATCCTCAGCTAATCTCATGGATAAGAGTAATTTTATATCCAGGCTCACTGGAATTTAGGTGGAAGGAGGCTAGAAAATAAATTCTGGTCATGCAAAAATAACATCATGTTTTTACTCTCTGTGTATTTATCATTTAAGATTTTGAGTGGAAGCCATGAACTACATTGATTAATATAAATGCAGAAGATAACATATAGTTCTGTAGGATATGAGGTATAAACATGGCAGTTGAGAGGCTGTAGATCCAGTCACCAGGCAGTGTTTCATTCTGTTGTGCATAGGGTTGTTATGAGTCAAAATGGACTCGATGGCACCTAGTGACAGCAACAACAGACATAGTGAATTCCATTTCTGTATGCCCTAATACAAGTATAGAAGCTCGCCTGTACTTTACAAATTAGGCAAGAACCCACAATGACAAAACCTTTGGTAATAGAAGATGAATGGAGAGTTTTGTAATGATTCTTTACCACATTTGATTACCGGTAACATTCTGCACTTGTGTGTGACAGGCAACATTGAAGTAAAATACAGTAAGGCAGAATGTTGAACTTTGTTAATAGACATAAGGTATTATTCAGTGTCACAAGCGTAATCATTAACCAAAAGAAAGCCGGATGTTAAAAATGGCTTGAGCTTAAAGAACTAAAAAGTTTGTTTTCTCATCATGAGATGGCATCTTAGTTCTCTAGTGCTGCTGTAACAGAAACCACACGTGCTGGCTTTAACAGACAGACATTTTCTCATGTTTTGGGAGGCTAGAAGTCTGAATTCAGGGCTTTGCTCTAGGGGAAGGCTTTCTTTCATGTTGGTTCCTCAGGAAAGTCATTGTCCCTTCAGCTTCTGCTTCCTAGTTCCTTGGAGATCTCCATTGTATCTCTGCTTGCTTGTTGCATCTGTCTCAAAAGAGGTTGACTCAAAATGTACCCTACACTTGTTGTTGTTGTTGTTATGTGCCGTTGAGTCAAACCCGACTCATAGTGACCCCTCCTTGGGTTTCCGAGGCAGTATCACTATGGAAGTAGGATTGCCCAACCTTCCTTCTGAGGAGTGGCTGGTGGGTTTGAACCACCAGCCGTCTGGTTAGCAGGCAAGTGTCTTAGCCACTATGCTACCAGAGCTCCCTACACTAATCCTGCTCATTAACATAACAAAGACAACCTATTCCCAAATGGGATTATAACCATAGGCATAGAGGTTGGGATTTACAGCTCAAATTTTTGGAGAATATGACTCAGTCCATAACAAATGGTAAATGGGCTAGAAAATTAGGCACTGTTGGAAGCAGCTACATTATCAGAAAGTGATTTGTCATTTAGAGAAGACAGTTGTGTTGTGGTTGCTAATAATGATGATTAAGAGACATGTTGTTATAAGAGACATTGCCTTAGGAAATAGTGGGTTTAAAATTGTCTTTCCCCAATTCTTAAATTAAACATTTGCTGTGTGCCATGCATGTACGTACCGATGATGCAAGAACAAATCTAACGTGTTCTGTCCTTATGGAGGACATAAAAAGAGTAGCGTACTAACGCCTACAACTAGCATTTGTGTGGCAACTACACACAATTGCCTCACCTAATGAACACAATAGTTGTCTGCTAGTATGAGGGATATCGTCCATCTCATAGCTGAGGAAACCAAGCCCAGGAAGGACAAGTGACCTATGTAAGGGCCCAGAATAACAAGCAAGTCTTCCAACTCTATACCCTATTTTTCCTTCACTCTACCTACCTTTCTAACCTAAGGCTAATTTATGTGAAACACAAAATAATCAGTTAAAATGACTGAACTTTAAAAGAATAGTTTTTATTATGACTTCATCAGAATGAAGTTAATTTTGTTCAGAGTAGCCTGCTTTTCTGGTTTCTGCTCCTGCACAGCAGAGAGGGGGGTTGGCACCACCGTACTCCTATTGCTCCCATAAGACGTGTTGGGGAGATAGACTAGTGTCACTAAGTGGACTATTCACTGGATGAGTAGGCTGTCTCTTTTGAAGGGTGCTGAGACTGTTCAAGGACTCTTAGAGGTGGCCAAAGACTCAGTCCCCCGAAGTCACTGGAAAAGGACCCCAGTGGTCCTGAAGGCGACAGCAGGACTGCGCTTACTGCCGGAACACAAAGCCCAGGCTTTGCTCTTTGAGGTAATTTTTAAAATCTTCTGTGTCTTGCATAATTCTCTCTTTTTTCCTCTGGGAATATTTTGTTCCAGGTTTTTAGCCATTTGTACTGGGACTCCTACCCTCAGTATTCCACCATTACTAAAGTAATAAGGTTACCATGGGCTCTCATCGTAGCTAGTTACTTTACATTTTTAAATATTACTCTTGAATTTGTAGGAGCTCTGATGGCATGGTAGATAAGGCAATTGTCTGCTATCCAGAAGGTCAGTGGTTCATACCCACCAGCTGCTCCGCAGAAGGAAGATGGGGTGATCTACTTCTTTTTCTAAAGACGTTTAAAGTACTTCCTACCCATAATATCCTTAAATCTCTTAACTTGTTAAACCTGAATCATATAATTGCTTTTAATTAACTTTATGGAGTATAGTGTACAAACACTAAAATGTACCCATTTAGAGTATCCAATTCAATGAGTATGGACAGATACAGTTTCCTTTGCCCTACCCCTGAAACCAGTCTGCTTTCTGTTACCACAGATTAGTTTTGCTTATTCTTACATTTCATATAAATAGAGTCATACAGTTTGTATTCTTTTTTGTGTGTGTCTGGCTTTTGTCACTTAGCATAATGTTTTTGAGAATAATCATGGAATTTTAAAGTTTGAAAGATTTTTGAAGGTTTTTTCAACTCCCTTATGCAGATAGAAAGTTTACAAAAAGTTTTTTAAAATTTAATTCATATTTAAAGGTCTACTGTATGTATGTATTAGGCTATAAACATACAACTAATAAGATTCAAATTGTGAGGAATATTTATAGGTGGAATCTCATTATAAGAAAAAAATCACCATAAAAATGATATTGTATTACAGGTTTGCTGATTTACTCATTTTCTTTGACCATCATCATAGAGCAATTAAGTACCTTGTCCAAGGACAAGCTGCCTGGCATATGTGCATGATAATCAAAATCTTGACTTCTCATTTGTTCAACATAGGAGTGCTTGCTGTGGGCTATATGCTGGTGTGGATACTAGGGATATACACAGCAGGAGACAAAAGTAAAACAGTCCCACCCCATATGGAGCCAACTACATTGTAGTTGGGGGGAGCAGAAAATAAATAAGTAAATATAAAATATGTCAGGTGCCAGTAGATGCTATGGAGAAAAATAAAGATGAGTAAGGCAGTGAGGGAATGCTGGTAGTGATAGAGGGTAGATGTTATTTTAAATATCATGGTCAGGAAGAATCTCATTGATAAGGTGAAGCATTTGATTCAAGAGAGATCTGAAGAGCGTAAGGAAGCAAGCTATACAGCCCATACATGAGAAGAGTAGTCCAACCTAAAGAAACCACACATGCAAGGCCCTAAAACAAAAATGTGCTTGGTGTGTTTAAGAAGTAATGGTTAAGTGCTCAGCTACTAATCCAACCCACCAGTGGCTCTAGGGGAGAAAAGACCTGCTGATCTGCTGCCATAAAGCTTACAGCCAGGAAACCCTGTCAAGGCAGTTCCACTTTGTCCTATTGGGTCGCTGTGAATGGGAATCAACTTAATGGCACCTGTAACAACATTCAGAGGGTCAGTGTGCCTGGCATGAGTGAATGATGGGAGGGAAGTAGGAGATGAGGTCAGAGAAGTGTTTTAGCTGTTGTTAGGTGCCATCGAGTCAGTTTTGACTTACAGCAACGTTGTGTACAACAGAAGGAAACACTGCCCAGTCCTTGCCATCATCACAATTGTTGCCATGCTTTAGCCCATTGTTGCATCCACTCATTGAGGGCCTTCCCCTTTTTTGCTGACCTCGCTACCAAGCAGATAGACTCCAGGGACTGGTCCCTGCTGATAATGTGACCAACATGTAAGAGACATTCTGACTTCTAAGGAGCCCTCTGGCTGTACTTCTTCCAAGACAGATTTTTTTCATTCTTCTGGCAGTCCATGGTATATTCAATATTCTTTGCCAGCACCACAATTCAAATGCATTGATTCTTCTGTGGTCTTCCTTATTCGTTGTCCAGCTTTCACATGCAGAGAGGTGTGGGGTAGGGTAGAATTTATCATGTAGGGCTTCAAAGGGCTTTGGATTTTATTCTAAGAAAGAAGCCACCAAAAGGTTTTAAGTTGGTCAGAGAGTTGATCTGATATCTGTTTTAACAGTACCATCCTGGCTTTTGTGTTGAGAATAAACTGACAGGTGGAGGAGATGTGGAGGTGGCAAGAGCAGAGCTTTCTGTACTTTTATTCCTGTTTGCTTATCTATCTTCTCCTTAAAAGCTGTTTATAGATAGCTTGACTGATTTTCTTGGTTGAAACAGGGTCCAGAGGTCACTGTGTGGTGTTTTTGTCCAAAATCAGTAATGAGAAAAGCCCACAGACTAGAATTCCTCCTATTCCTATTTGGAGACTCCTTCATTCTCCCACCCCCATGATAATCATATGAAAATGAGATAAGACACCCATATCATTCCCTATATTTATAGTTAAGAGCATCTTTGCTAGATCTTCATTCCCATCTCCTAGAATAGGATTACAGAAGTCTAGACCTGGGGTCTGTACACTCCTTTTTTAATTTTTTTTTTTGGGCTTTCAAGAACAGAAATTTATTTTCTCACAGTTCCAGAGACTAAAAGACTAAGTCATGGTTTCATTTGTGTAGACTCAGATTCTTCCTGTGGGCTTCACTCCTAGTTTCTGGTGTCTGCTGGCAATTGGCATTCCTTTGCTTGTAGACAGGTCTTCACATAGCATCTGTCTTCCACTTGTGTGTGTGTGTGTGTGTCTGTGTCTATTCTGTTCTTTTTAATAACTCAGAAGTGATTAGGTTTAGGACCCAGTTGACTCTGATATGACCTACTAACATAAGAAAATAAAAACTCTATTCCCAAACAGGACCACATCCACAGGTATGGGGACCAGAACTGGAGTCTCTAGAGTCTTTTTTTTTTTTTTTTTAATTTTTGTGATTTGGGTAAAAGTTTACAGAGCAAATTCATTTTCCATACAGAAGTTCATCCACATTCTGTTTCATGTTGTTGTTATGTGCTGTCAAGTTGTCTCTGACTCATAGCAACCTTATGTACAACAGAACAAAACACTGCCCAGTCCTGTGCCAGCCTCACTATCCCTACTATACCTGAGCCCATAGCTGCAGCCACTGTGTCTATCCATCTCATTGAGAGCCTTCCCTTCTTTCGTTAATCCTCCACTTTACCAAGTATGACATCCTTCTCCAGAGAATGCTCCCTTCTGACAGCATGACCAAAGTAGGTAAGACAAAGGCCAGCCATTCTCACTTCCAAGGAGCATTCCAGCTGCAGTTCTTCCAGGACAGAGCTGCTAGTCCTTTTAGCAGTCCATTGTACTCTTAGCATTCTTCGCCAGCACCACAATTCAAAAGTATCAACTCTTCTTCGATCTTCCTTATTCATTGTCCAGCTCTCACATGCATATGAGGCGATTGAAAATGCCATGGCTTGGGTTAGGCACATCCTAGTCTTCAAGGAGACATCTTTGCTCCTCAGCACTTGAAAGAGGTCTTTTGCAACAGATGTGCCCAGTGCAACACGTCTTGTGATCTCTTGACTGCTGCTTCCATTGGCATTGATTGTAGAACCAAGTAATAGGAAGTTTTTAACAGCTTCAATGTTTTCTCATCTATCATGATGCTGCTTATTGGTACAGTTGTGAGGATTTTTGTTTGTTGAGTTGTAATCCATACTGTAGACTGTAATCTTTAATTTTCATCAGTAAGTGCTCTAAGACATCCTCATTTTCAGCAAGCAAAGTTGTGTCATCTGCGTATCACAGGTTGTTATTAAGCCTTCCTCCAATCCTGATGCCACATTCTTCTTCATATAGTCCAAAGCAAACCAAACCCACAGCCGTGGAGTCAGAGCCGACTCATAGTGATCCCTCCGTGGGTTTCCAAGGCAGTATTACTACAGAAGTAGATTGCCCAACCTTCCTTCCAAGGAATGGCTGGTGGGTTTGAAGCACCAGCCTTCTGGTTTCCAGTCACACGTCTTAGGTACTATGCCACCAGAGCTCCCTCTTATAGTACAGCTTCTTGGATTATTTGCTCAGCATACAAGTTGAGTAAGTATGATGAAAGGATACAACACTGGCTCACTCCCTTCGTGATTTTAAACCACCAATTCCTTCAGTGCAGCTTTGACTTCTTCCTTCAGAACCATTGGTTCTTGATCATATGCTACCTCCTGAAATGGATGATCATCTACCAATTCTTTTTGGTACAGGAACTCTGTGTATTCCACCCATCTTCTTTTGATGTTTACTGCATCATTTGACATATTGCCCATGGAATCTTTCAGTATTGCAATCCGAGGCTTAAATTTTTTCCTTAGTTTTTTCAGCTTGAGAAATGCCGAGCGTGTTCTTCCCTTTTGGTTTTCTAACTCCAGCTCTTGGCACATTTCATTATAATAATTGATTTTGTCTTCTGGAGCTGCTTTTTGAAATCTTTTGGTCAGCTCTTTTATCCTGTTGATTCTCTCATTTACTTTTGCTACTCTCCATTCTAGGGCAAGTTTTAGAATCTCCTCTGACATCCACTTTGCTCTTTTCTTCCTTTCCTGTCTTTTTAATGACCTTTTGTTTCATGGATGATGTTCTTGATGCCATCCCACAATTCTTCTGGTTTTCGGTCATTGGTGTTTAATGCATCAAATCTATTCTTTATATGGTCTCTATATTTAGGAGGGATATAATCAAGATCATATTTTGGCTCACATGAGTCGTTTTAGTTGTCTTCAGTTTCAGCTTGAACTTATACATGAGCAATGGATGGTCTGTTCCATAATCAGCTTCTGACCTTGTTTTGGCTGAAGATATTGAGCTTCTTTCTCCATTGCTTCTTGCCACAGATGTAGTCAATCTGATTCTTGTGTACTCCGTCTGACAAAGTCCACATGTATAGCCACCGTTTGTGTTGTTGAGAAAAGGTAGTTGCAATAGATAAGTCATTGGTCTTGCAAAATTCTATAATGTGATCTCCAGTGCCATTTCTATCACCAAGACCAGATTTTCCAACTACCAGTGATTCTTCTTTGTTTCCAACTTTTGCATTCCATTCACCAATGATAATTAACACATCTTGATTGCATATTCGGTTGATTTCAGACTGCAGAAGTTGATAAAAATCTTCAATTTCCTCATCTTTGGCTTTGGTGGTTGGTGCATAAATTTGAATAATAATAATATT